AATATAAAAGATATAAACTTACTTCCACATACAAAATGGCAAATTTTTTGATACTAAGAATTGTGTAGAACATTATTTTTTTTTATTTCGTGTGCTATCTACGCTTTCGACTCTACCAGCTTTTTATTTATAACATTGTATAACTACGCACATACTTGCCTCGAATCTCTCCAGAAGAAAAAGCATACGAAGTCGAGTATGAGAGGAAATGAGCGCTTCGTGTTTGCTTGAGAAACAACTCCACGAGAATTATGTAACTGGGCAGTTGAACAAACAGATAAAAATATTACAAAACTACGTTTCGAGTACATATCCACTGAACAGTACATAGAAATGTCAGAAGAACTCGAAGAACTATATAATAGCACAAATAAAATATCTGGCACACAGAAATTCCACAGTTTTGTGCCTTTAACTGGTGACAAAGTACCGGCAAAAAGGTATTCTAATTCAGAAGATGAACCAAAAATATTTGGTTCTTGATTGGAAAAAGGAAAAAAATAGCATGTATGAAAATAGGTTTAAAACATTGAAAATATATAAATAAATGATATATGAAAAATCACATCTTCTTTCTCTCACATATTATCAGATTTTGCCTCAGTAGTAGACAACAGAATAAGGGAATGATATTTTTTGACAAGGTCTACATGTCCAGAAAGTTTTATTGAGGGTGCTGCCTATTCCGAATACGATTTGGCGAGAAATGCATCATGAGCCATTTTCATATGAAATTCTCGATTAATCAAAGTGAACTTAAGTGCTGATTAGACAAAATGGAATCGCAAATTGAGCTTCATTGGATTCTGATCTTCACTGGTTTTGTTGTGTGTGAAAATGGCAAATTTAAAAAAAAAATCAGTTCAGACATGAAAAACCCAACTAACATTTTCAGCTTTATAAGCCAACTTATGAGCTGTAAAGTAGTTGAAACAAAGCTGCAGATACAGCTACAAGCAGAAACTAGCCAAATAGTTTTGGAGAGCGTTTACTTAACTTTTTCACAACCATTACTCAATTTGTCAGTCGCTCTGAATAACAATCAGCCAATAAACTCTAATATCACTTCTATACAAATATTAATCAACTTTCAACTTTTAGCTTCAAAACAAAGCTAATAAAACGAAAATATTACTTGTTTGATGGCTTCTACACAAGCAACCGCTCTTGCTGAATAACATAAACATCAAAAGTGCTTTTTCAGCAACTAAACAACCTGTACTCAACTAATAAACTGTGTTAGCGCTACTGTGGAAGCTATTTTACAGTCAACTATGTAAATTTTTAGACTTGTGCAGTTTAATAGCTTTTACTCTGCTTCTTTACAAAGCTGAATTAACTAGTCGAGAAAAGTGATTCATGTGCACTATTATAAAGCCTCTACTCAGCGATTTTGTTGTAGAATGGAACGTTGATTTGTTCAAAGTGTTGGCGTAGCGAAGTTGGTAGTGTCAAGGTTTGCCAATGAGGTCGTCTCGAGTTTGATTCCAGGTTCGGGTGCAGGGTAAATAATTTGGTGATGATTTGTAACTAATTTCGATTAATTTGATTCACAGCAAAATAAACTCAATAAATTCCTTCATAAAAAAGCGTAAACAATATTTAACCTGGCGTCAAGAAAAAGCTGTGTAGTGATTATTGGATAATCGGGTAAAGCTTGAGTAAGCGCCTTTCAACTTCACACACAACTAAACAGCAGGATAACAGCTGTATAGAAGTGTAAATAGATATGCAATAAGAGCTTGTCGCAACTGTCACAATAGCCATAAGTAGCTGACTAAGTTCGCCATATTTGCTTGTATAGAGGTTGAGTAAAGGTTTACTCATATCGTATAACATTTGAATACAGCTTGAGGCTGTATAAATGAAATGAGTAAAGCGTTTACATTGCGAAAATTGTTAGTTGGGAAGTTTTTGTAAGAAAAACTTTGTTACCTTAAAAGTGCCCATCTCGCGATGTATGAACAGATGGTAGTTAACATAATTACCTATCTTGAGGCAAAGTTTCATTCAAACCAAACATGAATATTTTTTTAATCGACTCTAAATTTTAAAAATTGATTTTTTTTTTCAGTGTAGGTGTCAAATGGAATTTTTTTTCAGTATTTTTTTCGAAAAACTGTGAGTGGTAGGTAGGCATAGATAATTTAGTTTTTTATCACCAGATCACCAGAAACAGTTCTCAATCTGCGTCGCATGTTGAGAAAATTGCCGCATCCCAACGCGTTTCAACTCGCCACAAAAACAAGATTGTAAAAAAATAACGAACAATCTCAGCTGAACGAACTTACTGAAATCAAAACCTCATTTGCGGCAAGGTCTAGCAAGCGCAACGGGCCATGTTTGGTTCTCCATTCGATTCAAGTGCAAGCACTAGGGCGGTACCTTCCATGGGGGAACACATCTCAAGTCTACATTTACCGACTATTGAAAAACAGATCCACCCAAACAAAACAAATCTGCTGCACTCGTATCATAAAACCAAGTACAGATCTCCACCACTGCACGACGTAATTATATTGCTCAAATGATCAGCTATGGTCTACACAGCAAGAAATGAAAAGAATCAATTAATGCACAAACTCTCGCACCGTGTTCGGATCGGACTGCTCCGGCAAGTTAAGCTCAGGAGAAGGAAAGCCGCGGCGTTCATCAAAAACCGGTTCTTAACAGAGAACTGCCTCAACACAACCGACAACGAATGGTGGTGCGATGTCTAACAGCCTCCGCAACAACCAACAACGGTGGAGCAAGTCTAGCACAATCCACCACTAACACGATATAGAAAACTTTGATCAGCTTTATGAGCGCAAATCGGATAAAAATTCTCGCCTTCATCAAACCCCATCAAAGTGGAGCTGCGGCAGTCACAAGAAAGAAGGAGAAGTCGATGATTAGAAATGGTTCTCCTTTCTGCAGAATCTCTTACCCGTGGGGGTTCAATGGAATGCTAACCAATTGATTCCCGGAGTTGTGGACGGACCGGCACGAAAAGGAGGAAAGTTAAATGGCCTCCTTCCATCTCCATCGCACTGAACGAAGGGAATCGCTAATGGACCGGAGGTAATTTACGTTTTTCAATAAAAATACAAGCAGAAACAAGGTGAAAAATGTATGTGGGATGAGGCTCAGCCGATCCCTAGGGATTCACGGGGAAGTAGATAATAAGGTGGCAATAGGGAGGCTTATGGGTCAACGATGTCTAGGGTTCATGAAGCAGTGAAAATCGACCTTCATAATTTTTAACGCAATGCTCTGAATACCATTTAAAATAAGTTAATAAAAATCTGAAAGGGCCTACGTTTCCGAATTTTTCCATTTTGTTCAAGTAGTGCCAAAAGTTTGGTCTTTGAGAATGCACGCAAATTCTTTCGATAAAGGTCTTAAAATTAATAAAATAAGAGGTATCTTGAAAGTCTCAAGCGAATGCTTGAAGTAACTTGCAAGTCGACAGAAATTTTGATAATATCACTGATTAAGGTTTCAAAGGGTTGTTTAAGCTGGGTTTAGACTAGGCAAGTCAAATCATCAACTCAGTTGAATTCAATTGGCTTGAAAAGTTGAGCCTGGTTCAACTTTTTTCAATTCAAGTAAGTTGATAAAGTCAGTTGAATGGCATGGTTTACACGTTCAATTCGCGTTCAAGTCAGTTGAATTCACCTTCAAGAAAATCTAACACCATTCTATTAATAAATCTCCAAATGAACCAACCCTTGGGTCTTAGGATGCTTCCCAACATCATCTTACTAGATGGAACTATTAACTTTTAATTAATTCACGATTTATTGATAGTTCTACAAAGAGAAAATTTCCCGGGAATGGTTTCCTGGTCTGTATGCTCTGAGAAAACACTGAAAACTTGTTTTCAATCGCGTCATTTTTACAGCAAATATTAAATAATAATGGACGATTTTTTTCCTTTGGTTTGTTTTCCGTCGATCTTGTTTTCCGTGCTGAGCACCAATGCTACCGATGCGCCAGGAAGGCAGCTCCCACACCTGGACCCTACCACCTATCGACCCATCAACTCATTAACCGGGGACCAACGGCTTTACTTCCCTTGATCAGAGATGTTATGCCTCAGAACATCCCGGCGGCGCCGACTGGCATTAAACCCAGGCCTGCTGGGGTGAGAGGTAATCACGCTTACCACTACACCACCGGCGCTTTTGTTTATAATGGACGATTGCTTCGCAGGGGTACGAGAGGGTCAAGCAATAATCAAAAATTGTCTACGTTGTCGAAGAAATTCATAAATTGTTATAAACGACAGTCAAAAGGCTCGATAGCTTATCGAAGACTATCTTAATGGCTGATCGAATTCAAATTAAGAGAGAATCAATTAAGCAATGGCTGTAATTGACATTATTCAGTGAAAACATTTCAAAGAGGCGTAATTGCTGTAGTAAACAATGGCTTTAGCCGTCGAGTTCTTGCGTTTCATACTAAAACGGAACAAAACCAATACAAACCGTTTCCATCGTACATAGCCGGGCTTACCATGAGTAATCAAGTGGAAAATGAAATTGAATACAAACTCATCAATCAATCAAAATAAACAAAAAAGTCGGAGGCGACCCCGGCGTAGTGGCTAGAATCCATACCCTCACGTCAAAGTCACGAGTTCAAATCTCACCCCCAGACAAGTCACGAATAACCCAAGAGCGTTAAAGTTACTTTAATAATAATAAAATAATAATACAAAAATAAACAAAATCAATAACGTACAATACGAAGGAGATAACTTTCATGAAAACACCTCAACTTCGTATTTTGAAAACTGAGAACCAATAATTGTACAAGCCCTTCATTTTACCTTGTCCACTGAATATCAAGACGATAATCAAGTTGAATATTGCTATGTACTCACAAAATCACTGCACAAAGCTCATACTCCTTGAAACCTATTTCAGTTGTTTTGCTTTCTGCTGACATCAGACATAATATCGGTGCAGTTCAGTTCCCCGACAACCGTACAATCGATATTCGTAATTATTTACCTGCTCTGATGTTTGCCCCTCTATCCTCGCTTCCTCTACCAAACCGGCGCACACACGCCCCTTGTATACCAACAGTAGTAACTGCTGACTGCTCGTGAAGACGACCTCCGAACAAGAAGCAGCGAAAATCCAAATTTCCTTTGCGACGATACAGGTCAACGGTTATGACGCTACAAACACAAATTTCAAGCGTTCGTTCTCGTCCGGTCACCGGAAGTTGATTCCATCCAAAACAGAAGATGACTCCACTTTGCCCAGATACGGCTGACGATGTGTTATTTTAATTCGCTTGATTTTTTCTTCAATCGATAAATATCAACCTTCACCAGCACCTCATTTGCAGCCGATTGCGTTAACGAGAAATTCTTCTACATCGAGCACTGCCGTTCGCAAAACCTTCACAGAAACCCCACTGGGAGTGTTGCACGATTTGCTCGACTACACTTTGATCGATCTGGGTGGGAATCTCAATGCCTCTGAACCGTTAGATTAGCGCAGATTTCCAAGACGCACTTCCAGATAGACTCAGCACACACACGGTCCTTGAAGCTATTCTACCGAATCTGTCCCCAAACTGTATCCAGCGACCAAAAGCAAGTAAAGGGGGAGTATCGCAATACCTCCAACTATCAACAACACTAAAAACGTCCCACGCAATGCGAACTAATTCAAGAACACCACCGTTGAGAATCAACAAAGACAGAAAAAAAAACAGAAACACACGCGATCGCGAAAAACCTGCCTTAGTTGGTTTTCTGAAGGCACACACGCCTCGACTACTACCCGAGCTGCGGAACGCCGCGTGTAACGGTCGAACTTCGAACAACTGACTGACGATGGCCCAAACACCAACTACTCGCTTCTTCCACAAGCCATCACGGTGTTCATCGCCGCCGTATAATATCTATACAACTGCTGCTGCTGCTGCTTCTGCTGTTGATGTCTGATGATGGTGGCACCAATACCAATCAAAAACAAAATATCGTAAGAATAATACCCACGTAGCGTGTGTACAAATGTTGTTCAACTGGTTTTTCGGTTTTGGTTAACTGCGGCAGACGGAACGAGAGGGAACTAGTTGATTGGCCCTTTGAATGCCGATGCCGGAGCTGTGGCTAAAGAGTTGTATGTTTATTGAAGATCATTGATATCTTTCACACAATGTTAAAAAAGGGTCATCAATCAATTTGACGTTGTCAAACTAAACCGCTACGGTTATATCAGGTTCATTCTATGAAGGAAGTATAAATAAAATGCATGCTTATAAACACTCTCTAGTATAGAGCAAAACTTAAAAACTAAAAAAAAATTGCTGTAAAAATGTCAAAATATCCTTGAAAACATAAGAAATGGCAAGAATTGAGGGTTTTATAATCGCCTAAATGCCCCTTGAATCACAAAAAAAACTTAAAATCGACAGAGTAGCAAAACAAATATTTAAAGTGGTTTACAAACGCCAAAATGCTATTGAAACGAATTAGTGTTGTCAACCAGAGGGGTGACATATCCGCACTAGGTGTTATTTTAGGTAGTTTTTGTTAGAGAATTTCTAGACTGCTAATGAGAAAGCGAATACAGTGCGTAATCTTTATTCCCGTATTATAGTTTCTGGACGCCGCTATAGTTCATTAACAACGATAGCATATCCGGTCAGTATTTTACCTGCCGAAGGTTAAGAATAACGGATAAAGGAATACGGAAAATAATGATCCGGCAATAAGGATATCCGCATGTTCTACAAAGACTTCCAATATGAACTTGGAGAAAATTCTGAGACGATTCTTATAAAATTCTTGAGAAAATTGCATGGGGTAGAGAACTACTTCGGCTTAATCGCCCATTTTGGGCCTATCGAGCAGAAAACTTCAAATAAATCCATGATTTCAGAGTTAACAAGTCAGTTATGCGTTTGGTACGATACTTTAGTTAATAAGCTACGGAACGAAGTCAATGAGAACGCGTGATATGAAGGTTTGCACCCATTATTCCCAAAAACAAAAGAAGCGCTCCGACCAAATCAATTTTTATCTTCATCCAATAGGCCGAAGTGAATTCATTGCCGTTTCAATGGCGTTTCAATGCGTTAGGCCGAGTTAAGAATCCGTAGGCCGAGTTTGGCGTCCAGAAGCAGTGTTAGACTTTTGACAATATCGCAACGATTGGTTTCTTCTTATCAAATCTTCTGGTACATACGGAAAGGTAAATAAATTTGGAAGCCATCAGTAATAATAACATTCCGTTTGGTGCTAAACTGCGCTAGATTAAGAAAGACTAAGTGCGGGTTGTGCTTAATAGGCTGGAAATGGGGTAGTTAACCCTACATATTTTGTGAACAGTTCCAAGCAAATTATCAAGATGATTAAACGTGTTTATCCTTTACTTTTTTCCGCCGATATTGTTTTCCGTGTTGAGCACCAATGCTACCGACACCAGGGGGGCAGCTCCTACATCTGGACCCTACCTATCGACCCATCAACTCATGAACCGGGGACCAACGGCTTTACTTCCCATCCGAAGGAAGGCGTGATCAGAGATGTTATGCCTCAGAACATCCCGGCGGCGCCGACTGGGATTGAACCCAGGCCTGCTAGGGTGAGAGGCAATCACGCTTACCACTACACCACCGGTGCCGCTTGGCAAGGTTGTACATTTAAATGGTATGTACATGGTATGTGGTATGTACATTAGGGTGCTTCATTCTGAAAAAAGTGATGAATTTCTGATGGGCCACCCTCCAGTTCGATTCATAGCCCCAAAATATGAACCTGTGCAAAAATTGGTAAAGATTGATGAAGGTTTAGAGGTCGCGCCAATGATTTGAAATTTGTATGGGAATTACTATGGAAGAATTTAAAAAATCGCTTATATCGCTATAACTTTGCTTCTACTTGTCCAAATGTCGAAAAAATTTAGTATGTTATTGCTATGGCAATAAACAAAAAGCCTACAGTTGCTACGCTCAGTTTTGCAGCGTATCAAGAATTATAAAAATGTGAAAAAATGGCAAAATAGGGTAAATTGACAGATGAATATGTACAAGGCAACAACGCCAATTTCATCGCAACAACAACAGGCTTGTTGATCATTGTCATGACAACCACATATTTTTTTTTTTCAACGTTTGGACAACTACAACCAAAGTTAGAGCAATGTAAACGAAAATCAATAATTTCCCATACTAATTCACCAAAATCTCCATACAAAATCCAAATCATTGGCGCGACCTCTAAACCTTCATCAATCTTTACCATTTTTTGCACAGGTTCATATTTTGGGGCTATGAATCGAACTGGAGGGTGGCCTATCAAAAATTCATCACTTTTTTCAAAATGAAACACCCTAATGTACATACATACATGAATGCTGTATAATTACATGTCCAATTTCGTTACATGCTCAATTTTATATCGTTTGTCTCTTTAACCAAATCTAATCTCCTCACCTTAAAACCTGACCACCACAACGCCAATGGATTCACTCTATTCTCCTAAATGAATTACGTTTTACGAACCTACGCTGCTTTACCGCGACGAAACAGGACCTTCAACATAACATCACAATGACTCCCGCTACTCACATCACATCTCTCTACACACTTAGAAATAACTACTTTTACACGAGACGTAATCCATATTGGACGTAAATCATAGAACGTAAACAAACATTTCATGTTAAATTAAGTGTTCTCAAACCGAAACATCAGCTAGTCGACGAAGAGAACGTTTGATAGCATTGATTTTCACGTTTCTTTCAACTGATTCTTATGTCAAAAGGGCCGCTTACATGTGTCGGTCTCAGGGAACCGAAATTTACATGACTTTTTAGTAGTGTGTAATATCTCGCAGAAGGACGCGATTAAGGAAAACTACCAGGCAACAAGATGACTGCAACTTTGACAGCAAACAAATTTTTAAAACTCTGTAAAAGAACCACTCTGAATTAAGGGTACCCCTCTCTGGGGTCCAGTTATTTCTGGAGACCCCCTTCCATCCCCTACATCAAACTCTGTAAATTCGGGATTTCTTCCCTTCTGGAATTCATATCTTTTCTAAATACACACTTAGAAAAGTTCATGTAAATTTAGATGCTCTGAGACTGACATATACGAGAGTGAATTTTGACATAAAATTTAGTCATAATAAACGTGAAATTCAGCTCAATCAAACTTACGTTTCGTCGAGTAACGAACTTTTCAGTCTCGGAGCACTTAATTTGGCATGACATGTTTGTTTAGGTGTCATCCTTTATGTCAAAGATGGATTCTGTCACGTGTAAAATTAGGAATTTCTAATGTGTAGGGAAACCTCTTTGTGGGGTTTTCATAGACGAACCAGCCCACGGTTGAAAGTCTCCTTAATAAATAAATCTAACCTAATCTATATTAGCTAAGTCGGTAAAGGCACAGATATAAAGCAAGACCATGCTGGAGGTGGCTGGGTTCGATTCCCGGTTTAGTCTAGGAATTTTTCGGATTTGAAAATTTCTCGACTTCCCTGTATGAGATTGGACTTGCCACACAATTATACTTATGCAAAAATGGTGCAGGCATCGAAAGCTCTCAATTAATAACTGTGGAAGTGCATCTAGAACACTAAGTTGAGAGCACGCAATGAGCTAATATGCCATACGTAATAAGCTTGAAATGCGAGGAAGAAGAAGGAGAACCTAATCTATATCGTTTGTAACAGATAACGTCCCATGTATTTTTTTTTTTTGTAAATAAATCAAGGCGAGGGGTGCGTTTTATGCCATCCTACCCTAAATGTTCATATTATGCGTCATTATAGACATTTTTTTGTACCGGGGACCGAAGGAAGGCGGGATCGTAGATGTTATGCCTCAGAAAATCCCGACGGCGCCAACTAAGATTAAACCCAGGCCCTTTGGAGTGAGAGGCAGTCTATACCACCGGCACCGCTATTATAGACTTGTACTGTAGTTTTTGAACTAAGCTATTGTTCAAAACGTATACAGAACAAATTCTGAATTTTAATTGTGATGTAACCATTCATTTAAGTAAAGTTTTATCTAATTTCACGCAAGGGAACAACTTGCAATGTTGTTGACAAAGATGGGCTTTAATCAATATTTGCAACTTTTCATTAAAAGTCTCAGAACTTTACACTAAAGACTGGAACGCGCAAAAATTGGTTGACAAAAAAACGTTTCTTTCAGTCAAAATTCATATCACAAAAATCTGCTTATTTTCCTTTTGGTAGATCAATTCATATATTTAAAGGAAAAAATGTTCGTTTATTCTTTTGGTTGTCTAAATCCGAACTGCCGTGCCTTCCGCTTAGCCCCTTCCATTAAATTTTGCACAGTGGTCTCATAGACCTTATTCGCCGCCGAACGCCAGTTAGATTTAAACTGCTGCTCGTTTTCCATGGATTTATAAGTTTTTTTAAGATTCCGTTTGACCAAGACCCAATACCGTTCGATAGGGCGGAGTTCTGGACTGTTGGGAGGGTTGTGATCTTTGGGTACCACAAACACGTTTTTCGCATCGTATCACTCGATTGCCTTTTACCAATAGTGGCAGCTTGCCAAGTCCGGCCAGAACAGCACAGGTCTATTATGATGCTTCAGAAATGGTAGCAACAGCTTTTCCAGGTACTCCTGGAAGTAGATCTCTTGATTGATGGTTCCCGTAGTAATGAAAATGCCACTTTTTAGACCACACGTGCATATGGCCTGTCAGACGTGATATTTTTTCGGGAACTTCGATAATTTGATAGTTTTGAAAATTTCAGCCACCTTCCCTTTTCCTGATGCAGTATAAAACTCCTGTCCCGGAAGCTGCTTGAAATCCACCTTCACATAAGTTTCGTCGTCCATGACGACACAGTTGAATCTGCTCACAAAA